TGAGATCTGAGGATCGCGGTTCAAAGCCAGCCGGGGCAGGAGAGACCGTGAGACTCCTATCTCCAATAAACCACCAGAAAACCGGAAGTGGCACTGTAGCTCAAGAGGTAGAGCGCTCGCCTTGAGCTGAGGGACAGCACCCAGGCCCAGAGTTCAAGACTCATGACCGACAAAAAAAGACAATAATAAGTTTTCATAACCATGTAGGCCTGCGAGATCACGGGGCTGCATTTCTGTCCTCCGAGTGTTCCCTGGGGTGACCAAACTCTCCTCAAACTCCTGATAACTTCTCCTGTGCACCCCACTCACCTCCTGCTGGGGGGCTGGGGGTGGCCTGCACCCAGTCTGACAACAAGCTGTGGTTTAAAATGGCTGAGGACCTCAGAAGGGCCTTGGAAGCATGGGACCCCGCAGGCTCAGGGGGTCAGCCACGCCGCTGACCAGCCGTGACCCTGTGCCCACGTACCGCCCATGCTGCGTCCTCATGCGTACCGGGCAGGGCCTCTGCGCTCCCTGTGTAGGGCACTGGGGGGGGGTGTCCACAGGCCTCACATCCACCTTCCCCACCCCGAAACCTGCCCTGCGGGGCCTCCAGTGGGTGCTGTTGAGTTTGCCCTGACCACTCCCTCCCCCGGCTCCCACCCAGTCCACCAAGTGAGCCTGATTTGTGCCAGGCTGAACACGGGGCGGGGGGGGACAGACCCTGGAGTCGGAGGGGTGGGAGGTGAATGCCCCCCCCCCCATCCGTCCCTTGCCCTCCCCCTCTCCCATTCTCTCTTCCTCCCTTCAAGAATTCATCCTGCGGCCACTAGAGGTCTTCCGTCTCTCCTCCTCATACGGCAGCCGCCGTGTAGTTTGCTCTGCTCTTATTATTCCTACGTGAGCAGACCCTCCGCACTTCTTGTGTCTGCACGGGGAAGATGATCATCTAAAGGGCTTCCTTTCCCTTCCTTCTGGAGTTATTCTGCTGCCGGGGAGAGGCTGGTTCTCGTGAGGAAGAGAGGAGCTTCCTCTTCGGGCGGTCTCCTGCTTCGAGGTAAGAGACGCCAGGAGCTTTTTTTTATTTTTCATTTTTTGCGGCCGATGGGATTAGAGGGGGAAACGCAGTCATCTCTTGGGTAATAGTTTACTTTAAAGCTTGGCTTGGATGTGTGTGTGCGTGTGCATGTGTGTGTGTGTGTGTGTGTGTGTGTGTGTGTGTGCGTGCGTGTGTGCTGTGTGGTCTCTGGTCCGGCAGATCTGGGGCTGCAGGCAACCCGAAATGCATGGTGCTCGGAGGCTTTTTATTTCCAATGGCTTGATTTGAATGTGAGGGAGAACAAGATGCACAGAGCCACCCCGGGGAGCTCAAGTTGCACAGCGCTACCTTGGAAAGGTGGTATTTTTCTGGAGCTTTGTTTGGGGGAAACTTCTAGGCTTCATGTACAAAGAAAAAAAATTGTAATAGGAGGGAGATGGTGGTCCCCACCAGGGAGGTGAGGGGCTCCTCGGGGAAGCGCTGCTGCTGGGTGGGGAGTGGGTGCGTCGGTGTGTGGAGTTCGGGGCTTGGTGGTGGTCACTTTCCTCAGCTGTGTGTGAAATCTCTTTGTTCCGAGGACCCCTCGATGCCCGGCCTCTGGGCAGGGTTTGTGGGGCACCCGGCGCCTGCACACCTCACCTGCGTTTGGCTGTGGGGGAGCAGCTCTGTTGCTGTTGTTTTCCACTTCCCACCCTGCTTCCCCGCCCGGTGGCTAGCCCACCTTGCAGTCAGGCCACCGAGCATCACGGAGCCGCGGCCGGGAGGCTCCTGAAATAGATCCGGGTGCCGGGAGCCGCTTAGGCAAAGCCTCTCCCCATCACTGGCGTTTTTAAAGCCATAGCCCACACTCTGTGGTGCCGTGGCGGGCGACGGCTGAGCCTCCAGGCGTGGGTCCCCCCTCTGCCCCTCTCCATGCTGCCACGTCCACGGCGTCTTCCGTGGGGGGCGGGAAGGGAGGCAGGGGGGGAGGTCAGCCCACGTCGGCTCACCGCCGTGGCTCAAACTTTACGCCGGAGGACCCCAGACTCCCGGGAACCCCTCTACCCCCAGCAACCCAGAAAAGCCCAGATCCTGCAGCAGACACTCAGGGGTGGGGATCCCCCCTCCCCCCGTTCTTATCCGGGGCAGAGATTCTGCCAGGCATATTTACTAGTAGGCATGAGGCAGCCACTCACCCGTGCCTGAGCAGCGTGCCCGGTGCCCGCGGATAGGAAATTGCTCCTCAACACAGAATGCCTGTGGGACTCTGCAGATTAAGTTCCAGGGAGAAATTGAATCCGAAACCAGGCGAGGCTCACCTCGCGCCCGGCCGGCTGGCTTCAAATATGGCTAATGAGTCACCGCGCGAAGAGACACGGTTCGAAACTAGGTCAAACGTGTAAAAATAAGCACAAGGCAGGCGCGGGGCTGCCGTGGTGAGGGGTGGCGCGTCCCGGCCGCGGGTCTGCGGGGGGGGGGGTCTCCCGGGAGGGCCGTCTCTCCACCCGGGTCTGGTGACCCGCCGGGCACGCCCCAGCGTCTGGACCAAGTGAGGACCCCGTGTTGAGAGCGACTGGGCGGTCTTCCCCGATGGCACCCCGAGTCACTGGCTCCATAGCAGCATCATTGTAGTAGTAAACCTATCTACCTAACAGCCTCGGGTACACACTGACACACGCGCACACGTGCACACACACACACACACACCCCTCCCGCAGAGCTGAGAGAGCCAAGGCAGACGCTCTCTTCTTCCTCTACCAACAAAATCGGGGAGAAGAGTCTGGTGGCAGCTGACACCCCACTCACCTATGGGTGAGGGAGATGAGGGTTAGGAGGGAGGGAGGAGAGAGAGAGCGAGAACGCTAACTTTGCCAGCTCGCTACCTAAATACCAGCATTACTATGCGGTACCAGCTGGTGGCACGTTGCTATGGTAACTTCAAATAACATGCGCGACCAAAATAAAATGAAATATAGAGAGCGCCCGGGAGAGGAGAAAGTTTGCAGGCCGAGGAGGCTGGTGGAGAGATGAGCGTCTTCCTACGGTCTGTCTGTCCTGCGGAGACTCGGGAGGGGCCGGTGCCCCTCAGGGTGATGGGGCGGTGCCGGGCGGTGATGGGGGGGGAACAGGTTGGGGTTTATTCTGGATGAAGTGAGCGCCGTCTGGGGCTGAGCCAGGACGGAGGTGGGAAAGACCCAGGGGAGCATCGTGGAGCCATCTTGGGGGCAGCTGCCGACGTGAGTCTCTGGTGGCCACGGCCCAGGGCTGGGCCCTGCGTGGGGTCCAGCAGTGAGCAGGACAGACAGCCCCAGCCGGGCTCCACGTGGGGCTGGACGTGCGCAGCCCCGGCCGCGTCTCAGCCGACAGCCGGCTGTGACCTTGAGCAGGTCCGGAGCCTCACCTGGCGCAGAGCCGTCCTCTGCACAGAGGATCGGCCTGCCAGAGCCCTCGGGAGCCGGCGCCCAGGATGAACTCTTCCTGCCGGCCGTGGTCCAGAGAGACACGTGCTCCGCAGCTCCGGGTCCCCACCGACCTCAGTAGCAAGGTCTGTCCACACACACCCTGCGCCCAGCGCCCGTCTGTCCGTCTGTCCACACACACCCTGCACCCAGCGCCCGTCTGTCCATCTGTCCACACACACCCTGCGCCCAGCGCCCGTCTGTCCGTCTGTCCACACACACCCTGCGCCCAGAGCCCATCTGTCCGTCTGTCCACACACACCCTGCGCCCAGCGCCCGTCTGTCCGTCTGTCCACACACACCCTGCTCCCAGCACAGGCTGGCATCGGGCTCTGTGCCGTCCGTCCATCTGTCTGTCTGCACACAGTGGTTCCCAGAGCAGGCTGGTGTCGGGCTCTGTACCATCTGTTTATCTGTCTGTCTGTCTGCACACTGTGGTTCCCAGAGCAGGCTGGCGTCAGGCTCTGTGCCATCGGTCTGTCTACACACACCCTTCTCCTACCACAGGCTGGTATCAGACTCTGTTCCACCCATCTGTCTGTCTGTCTATCACAGTAGCTCCCAGAGCAGGCTGGTGTTGGGCTCTGTGCCGTCTGTCCATCTGTCTGTCTGTCTGCACACAGTGGTTCCCAGAGCAGGTTGGCGTCTGGCTTTGTGCCATCTGTTTGTCTGTCTGTCTGTCTACACAATGGTTCCCAGAGCAGGCTGGTGTTGGGCTCTGTACCATCCGTCTGTCTGTCTGCACACAGTGGTTCCTAGTATAGGCTGGCATCAGGCTCTGTACCGTCCGTCTGTCTGTCTGCACATAGTAGCTCCCAGAACAGGCTGGTGTTGGGCTCTGTGCCGTCTGTCTGTCTGTACACAGTGGTTCCTAGCACAGGCTGGCATTGGGCTCTGTGCCATCTGTCTGCACACAGTGGCTTCCAGTGCAGACTGGCATTGGGCTCTGTGCTGTCTGTCTGTCTGTACACAGTGGCTCCGAGTGCAGACTGGCATTGGGCTCTGTGCTGTCTGTCCATCCATCCGTCTGTCTGTCTGTACACAGTGGCTCCCAGAGCAGGCTGGCGTCGGGCGCTCAGGCCTTGGCTGCCAGCACGTCTCACGCCCAGCTGTTTAGCACACTGAGTGTGTGCCTCTGGGAGCATGCTGGGAGATGGGTTTTACTTGGGGAAGTTGCTGGCAGGTTGGAAAGCAAGGGCAGAGCCCACGCTGTTCACAAGCAGGACGCACAGCCGGCCGGTGGCAAACGCAGTCCCTGGGCTGTCTGGACTGGGCGGCAGCCTGTCTGCGCGGTGACTGGCTCCCAGGGACCGGGTCATCCTCCGCCAGGAAGCGGTGAAGGCACAGGCCCCGCCCCGCCCCCGCCCCGTCCACCCCAGGGGGCTGGCCCAGTCCCCCGGCCTGACCAACGTGGTATCTCCTCGGAGAGCAGCACGCGGACAGGGGGCGGGAGAAGAGGGGGGACAGGCTTCCGTGAATCCAGCTCCCCCACCCCCACCCCCGCCGCCATCCCGGCTAGAGCCGGGCTTGGGGTATGTGGCATGAGGTCACGTTGAACCTTCCACAGGCCGCAATGGGACTCTGGGTCACGCGGGAGACAGAAGGGGCCGGGCGCTCTGCTGCCTCCCACCAATCACAGCGAGAGCAGGCCCCGAGGGACAGCCCCGTCCCCAGCCCCGGGCCTCTCGCACACCACAGCCCACAGACCCTGGCCGAGACTCGGGGCCCGTGGCTACGCGTGGCACCGCCAGGATCCGGAAGCGAATCTGCGTAGGAGACGGACACCATGAATACCAGATGTGAGGTCCACTTCCTGGCAGCCCGCTCTGAGGAAGAAGGCTCACAGGTTCACTCGGGCATGGGGTCACCTGCTGGGGGGACGGGAGCCGGAACGCGGGGGCTACTGTCCTGACGCGGCGCGCGCCCTGCCTTGACCTGTACCCGGAGCCGAGTGCGAGAGCGCTTTCACACATTCCCTAACTCAGCACATGATTCTTTTACAACTACTGTGTGCCGGGCGTGGTCACGGGCGCTGGGGACACAGCCGTGAACGAGGTTCGCTTGGCTGAGCCAGGAATAGGCAACTATGTCTTATACTTGGATGAGCTACTTTGCCGTGCTCTGTGCTCCCAGTGACGTGTGGCGCAGCGATGGGGGGAAGGGCACCGAGGAGGCCTCCTCGGGCAGGGTGGCCAGTGGTGGCCTCTGAGCGCTGACCCCGCCGTGTCATCTGGAATGATGGCACTGGGTCACGTTAAAGCTTGGAATATCTTCCTGCGGGCAAGTACTGGGGTAGATGCAAAGGACCCGTGGTCGGGATGTGACGTGCGTGGGGCATCCGAGATGCCAGAAGGGGCCGGCGGGGCGCGGGGGCAAAGCCAGGGCCAGGCAGGGGTCAGAACCTGGGTTGCTGGGGGTCAGCCAGGAGCGCAGATTTTCTTGCCTGTGTAAGGGGGGGCTGTGGACCCGGGTCTCCTGTGGGGAGTACGTGGATGCTAGGTGGACACAGACCTCGTTTGTCCTAAGTCTGGCACGCCCTGGGTGCTCCCCGCGCTCCCGGGCTCTGGGTGAGGCCCCCTGTGCGAGGGGGCTCCACCCGGGAAGCCGGGCTCCTGTCACGCAGGGCGTCCCGAAAGCAGCCGCTCACCTCCTCCTGCCAGCCGGGGTTAGAAGGACGCTAGTGTCTCCCACGGGAAAAGCGTCCAGACGAGGTGGGAGCGATCGCAAGTACCCATGGTCCCAGCACTCGGGAGGCCAAGGCAGGAGGATCACAGTTGGAGGCCAGTCTGAACTAGATCATGAGTCTCTAGCTCACATCAACCAAGCCCCCCAAGGCCCGCACCAGGCCCTGGGTTCACCCCTAAGACTTCCCAGCGAGGAAGCCCTGTGGGCTAACCAATGAGAAGGGTAAGCACCGCTCAGAGGGCTCACTGCGTCCGACGCTGGGCTGATCCCTCTCTATTATCCACCTCGGAGGACTTTTATAGAGTCACAGCAAAGGAAGGGAGAACTGGAGAGAAGGAGCCATTGCGGCAGACACCGGTGTGTCACTCTGTTAGGTCGTACGCGGACGGCCCTGACACCGGCACGCAGCGGGCACTTGCGGCGGGCCGGCCTGGCGCCACGCGTGGAGATGTGCGGTTAACGGATGTCGGCGTACCCTATCCGGGGAGAGAGAGCCCCAGGAGCAGAGAGGCGAGAGGCCTGCCCAGAGCAGCCTGCTCCCTCTTCACAGGAGGAAAAGGAAATACTCATGATTAACCAGAGGCCTCAAAGCATCAGGGAGCAAAGGCAGGGGACACCTCCCGGATGCCACTGGCCTGGGCTCCAGTAGGCCTGGACAGAGGCTCACAGGGTGGTGGGTGGGGCTGGTCAGGTGGTGGGTGGAGCTGACAGTGGTAGGCGGGGCTGGCTGGGTGGTGGGTGGAGCTGACAGTGGTAGGCGGGGCTGGCTGGGTGGTGGGTGGAGCTGACAGTGGTAGGCGGGGCTGGCTGGGTGGTGGGTGGGGCTGACAGTGGTAGGCGGGGCTGGCTGGGTGGTGGGTGGGGCTGGCAGTGGTAGGAGGGGCTGGCTGGGTGGTGGGTGGGGCTGACAGTAGTAGG